TTCTCAGACACTAGTGATACAGGAGACACACCTCAGGGGCTGTGGCTTGGCATGCAGAAGGTCCCAGGTTCAACCCCTGACATCCCCAGCTGAGAGGCACAGGTGGTAGGGGATGGGGAAAGACCTCTGCTGAGATCCTGGAGAGCCACTGCCAACCTGAGTGGACAATAATGATTTTGATGGACCGAGGATCTGATTCAGTATAAGGCAGCTTCATGTGTTCTTTGGAGGGCCCAAATCTCTTGAACAAATGCTGAAAGGGGGGGGGGACCCGTGAGAACGATATCATGCTATGCTGCGTGGGGATCACCAGCCAAGATGCGGGAGCAGGACAAATCTGTCCTGTCAGTCTTGTGCAACTGGAATGAGGTTACTTCCTTAAGCAGCTGGCACTGCATGAAAACCCCCACCATTTGGGCATATGAGCTTCGGTGGGAATGGGGAAAACTAAACCCAGCCTGGTATTCCTCCTTCCAAGCAACCGATCGATGCAATTGCTGGTATTCTGATCAGATGTATCCTAGTTGATGTTTGTGTGTGGATCTACCTGGACCGGGGGGGGGGGCTTTCATTTCCTGAGGGATTTCATATTTGGGACATACTTGTCTCATCATGTCTATTCTTTCAAATCAGGGCCTCCCAACCTTCTGAGCCTGTGGGCACCTTTGGAACTCTGCCACAGGGCAGTGAGCACAATCACATAATGGCTGCCACAGGAGGCAGTGCCAACCACACAGTGTCAGAGAGAGAGAGAGAGAGGGGGGGGGAAGAAGTGATTGGATTTTTATACCCCGCCCTTCACTTGGAGTCTCAGAGCGGCTTACAAACTCCTTTCCCTTCCCCTCCCCACAACAGACAGCCTGTGAGGTAGGCAGGGCTGAGAGAGCTCTGAGAGAACTGTCCTTGAGAGAACAGCTCTGACAGGACTATGGCTTGCCCAAGGTCATCCAGCAGCTGCAAGTGGAGGAGTGGGGAATCAAACCCGCTTCTCCCGGATTAGAGTCCACACACTTAACCACTATACCAAACTGGCGAGGTTATATATACTTCTAATAGTAACTCTCAAGGGTCATTTTGTAGAAAAAGAGGTGCAGGAGCTCATTAGCATAACTTATTTGCATATGCCATACTCCCTGACATCACCGGAAGTGTGTCAGAAGGCAACACCCACCGCTCAGGTGCCACTGGACTGTTTTGGATTGCTAGCTATTGGGGGGGGGGACATGCAGATCTGTCCTCACAGAGGAAGGAGAGCTTGTACCTGAATAAAACTTGGTCGTAAAGGTGCCACTGGACTGTTTTGGACCGGGGGAGGGGGCTCTGCAGCTTACCTGGCTGCTTCTTGCTCTGACTGAGGGCTGCTGGGAGCAGGGGGCAGGGCTTGTTGCATGTGCCCGCCCCCTGGGCTCTTTACTGCTGGAGCTCCGCTCCTGTGCGCTCCTTCAGGAAATGACCCCTGGAACTCTTCATTATTTCAGGCAGAAGCTCTGTTTAATCGGATGCCTTTTAATCTGCAGAACCAATCCCCACCAAGCCACGGCCACTTTCTAAGAGCACTTGGTGGGCATCAGGAAGGGCGTCAGTGGCCACCATGGTACCCGCGGGAGCCACGTCGGAGACCGCCATTTCAAATGCAGGGGCCATTGCTTCCAGAAGTGAATGATTGTGAACCTTCAGCTCCTATGTTTCCAGTACCCGTTATTTTATTTCTTACATTCACTGTCAAGCGATTCATTATGCTAAAATGATTATAATAATGTGCTATTATCAACCGTTTCAAAGAACATCAACCTTTAAAAATAAATCCAGAGACTACATTTTGTAAAGTGCTTTTTTTTATTATTAGGCATTGTCAACTGCTCAGTGAAGTGCTTTCATGCAAGCTCAGCTAATGGTAACTGGAGGGGGGGGGAATCAACACCACTATTCAGTACATAAAGTTAGGCATCAACGCAGTGCTTCAAGTGACTTAAGAGTGTGCAAATTCTAAAACTGAAACAGTCCTTGGTTTGCTTTCGGATCGCTTTGGAACAACTGAGCAGATACATGCCAGCCATTAACTCCCCATTTCTGTGGACAATCACCACGATGGTCTTACTTACTACTGCACCATTCCACCAAAGTGTTTAGGGCAAAAGAGAATTGTCTCCCTCCCCTTTCCATTTCATCATTACAACAACCCTGTTGAGGTAGGTTAGGCTGAAAGAAAGCGATTGGCCCAAAGTTACCCAAGGAGATTCATGGCTGAGCAGGGATTTGAATTCGGGTCCCCCAGCCCTAGTCTGACATGCTCACTGCACTGGCTTACTCTTCAGGCTTTCACATTTACATGTTTACATACTTTGGATACAATCCCACCCAATTTAAACACATTGAAGTCTTATTGCATTTTAAGCTTAAAATCGCTGCCACTGAAACATGGAGCTTTACAAACCTTTTCCTAGGACTAAGCTCCACTGAATACAATGGGTCCTTTCTGAATAGACCTTCTGGGGATGGGCTTTTCAAGGTTGCAGTCCTGTGCTTGTTTACTTCAGAATAAGCCTCAATGAACTCAGTGGGACTTTCTTCGGAGGAAACGTTAACTGGATCAGACTGCATAATGCTTAACTTTTACTGAGCCGTTCCCCTAATATTTGGTTACCAGGTCATGTCATGTTCATTTTAGATATCAAAAAAGGGGAGGAGACACCACGCTTGGAAAAAAAGAAAAAGAAAGAACAAAGGGCCCTAATATGCAAAATGTTAGATTCTGGTGCGTTTCATGGTTTATTTCAAACCAAGAACTCCAACATGGGATCTCTTGTTTTAAAACTGAGAGAGAAAAAGCTACTATTATAAGCTAAAAAAAGCCAATGTACATATCATATCGCGGAGCAATTGCTCATGTACTTACAGTAATAACAATAGTTGAAAAAATATCTTTAGAAATATTTGTCTTCATTTTAGAGCACACCAGGTGCGTAATCTCCTAGTCTGTTTCAATAGCTAAAGCATCATTGTTGAAAAGCGCACTGGGAAGAGAATCATAATATAGCCTGCTGATTCAATACATGTGCACTTGTCACTTGAGGGCTCCAACAATAAGTGATAATTTGCATGTATGAATGAACCCATCAGAGACCTAGCACCCCAAAATATCACATCACCCAATGTCACTTCAAAACACATACTTTGCAACCCACACATTCAGCCATGAGATATTAAGCACTGAATAATCAGGGATATGTCCATAAATGTATCTCATATCCCTTAATAAACATAAAGAAAAGCAGAAATACAGGTTATTTGATTTCTGAAGAGATGAAACAACCCTCAGTCTTGAGGTATACAGGATTTCCACAATAACTTCCAGCAAATTCAGTACAAATTAAAATTCTGGTGTGTAACCTCTGGGTGTTAAATTCTTTTTAAAAATTCTAGTCAGATAATTGGATTTCAAAGGCATGTCCCACAAACCATAAACATTTTAACCACATTAATCCAAGTAAATTACACATTGAGCTTGGGCTGGTGGAATGGCATTTATTCATTTTCATCACACCATCTGTTTTGTTTAATTTGCTTGCCGATCGCTGGCAGCTCCACCTTGACTTCATCTTCTGGAGATGATGGAAGAGCTCCACAGCTTGAGCTCAGTAAATCTAAGCTTGCACTGGTATCATTTTGCAACATTTCCATTATTTCATCTTCTTGACAGGTATTAATAGCATAATCTACACAGTCCTTCAAATGTGGGTCGGAAACTGTTTTAATGGCGCGTGCAGAGCCTAATAGACCAATCGCATCATTGCCAGGTAAAGAAAGAGTCTCCGCATTATCAGATGAAATAATATTTAACTTTTTGACATGTCTGATTCCTTCCCCAATGCCTGCTAATTCATTTGCCAAAGGAAATGTTGGGTTAGCGACCTCTTGGAACATGACAACGTTGCCAGGACGTGGTTTTTGACAGGTGGTATCTTTATTATGACTATCGGAGGTAATGATACCTTTCCTTTTGATACTTTCTTCATCAACTGCAAGATTTAAGGCCTCTGTGGAATAACCTGCTTCATAGTCAGTTATACTGAGAAGTTCTAAATTTACAACTTGTCTTTCTAATGCAGATTCCAGGGCAGGGCTCTTTTTATGATTTGATTCTGTTAACGGATAGTGCATATCTTCAGTATATTCTTCCAGCCAATAAATGTCTTGATGGGGAAAAGGCGTTTGACAGTAATTATTACTATTGTTGTTGTTGCTGTTGAAGAGGCTGCCTTTATTACTACCCTGCAATATGGATTCATCGTCAGTGTTAGTAACCTGTAAAACCTCTGTGTCGTTGGCTTCATTAAGTTTTCCATCTCTCTGCTTTTCAGCATTCTGCACAGCCACATTATCACATTCTTTTACATTCTTTCCACCCTTCTCCCTCTTTTTGGATACTTCATTTTCACTCTTTTTCCTTCGCACAGATTCTTTTTGACCATTTTTTCCTTTGGTATCTGCTTCACAAGTCTTTGCCCTGCTATTATTTACAAGTTCCTCCTCTTTGGAGGCATACATGGGAGATGACTGGTCATTTGATTGCAAATCAGTGACTTCATCTTTCTTTTCCTCCTTGCTCTCCCAAAGGTTATTTCCGTTTGAGAGCTGAGGCTGATTTCTAAGACCTGTCAGAGGGTTGGTTTGTGTTCCAGCGGTCTCTTGTTCAGAAACCTCTGGTGGCCATTTTGGTTTATTCATTTTAACTTCCTCCTCTATAGAAAATGATTTTCTTGGTGTTTCTATGGAAGGAGGCCATGTAATGCTTAACTTGCCTCTCTCTGTATTCTGTTTTAAATTGTCTCCCAAAGTTTCACAATGGACTTCCTGACTGCTGGAATGCAACATTCGATCAGTGGGTTTCGCCCCCTTGGGATTAACTTCTTTAGCATGAACAGAACCAACAGAACCTTTTTGGTTTTTGGAAATCCATAATTCTTTATGTTGCTTGTGTCCAAAACCTTCATCATAATTTCCTCTGGATTTGAAAAGTTGCTTAAAATGGGGTTTACAGTATATTTTTCCATGGAGAGAAGCATAATTACCCAAGCTGTCAAATCAAAGAGAAAATGCTTTATGGCATCTATCTATCATAAATGCTCCAAAAATATTTTATTTTAGTTGACATTTTAAGTAGCTATAAATAACAGCATCTATAAATGTAGTCTTGACTCATACCACTTCAGAAAAGAAAAAAATAATAATCTATCACTAGCAATGGGAACGAACCAGGAAAATGGGGTTCGGTTTGTGGTTCATGACATGACCTGTTCACGAACCACAGAGCATCACAAATTTTAGCCAGTTTGTGAGGTGGTAGAACAGCCCCTCCAGTATCTAGAGACACCAAACGCACACAGGATCTCTGGCTGACTCTCCTCTACCTTCCCTCCGAGTTTGGTGAGGATTGGATTTATGGGGTTTGAGTAAGAAGGTGCCCCCAGGAAAGTACTTTCTGGGGTCTGACCACCTGTCATTTCCCCAGAAAATACTTTCTTGGGGGGCACATTCAGGGGGGCATAACTCAGGCCCCATAAATCCAATCCTCACCAAACGTGGTTGGCAGGTTGAGAAGAATCAGCTGGAGAGCCTCTGTGAGTTTGGTGTCTCTAGCTTGCACAGGATCCATTCTATATACTCCTGAACCTCCTGAACTTGTGCCTGTCAAAATGACTTCTGTCAGGCAGTCATTTTGACAGGCACATGTTCAGGAGGTTGAGGAGTGTATAGAACAGATCCTGTGCAAGCTAGAGACACCAAACCTGGAGCATCCTGGAGAGGTCTGCTGCGAGTTTGCTGTCTCTAGCTTGCACATGATCCATTCTATATATTTTGTCAAAATGACCAAGGTCCAGGAGTGTATAGAATGGATCCTGTGCTAGCTAGAGACATCAAAATCGCAGGGGACCTCCCCCAGATGCTCCTGTACATGCCCTCCAAGCTGTTGCTTTGAAGTTCTGTAAACATTTTGATCAAGTGGAAACAGTCTATCTGGGAAAGTCTCTGCTCACAAACTGGCACAAACCTCCAAGAATAGCTTGAAAGTGTGTTGAAAATTCATGCCGGGTGATCTGCCACAAACTTGACCTCATGAAGCATGAACCAGCCAAAATTTGTCACAAAATTCAGTTTGTGAGCTGGTTCATGCCCATCCCTATGTATCACCCAGCAGAATAAATAATTTTCATTTTTAAGGCTTGGTTTATAACTTCACTCAGGGTCAGGTGTCATCTACAACTTTCTTGTGGGAGAAAAGTCCCAAATTAGATGGACTGGATTAGAGCTGTCAGACTCATTTGCTACGCATAAATGTAACTTGATTGGGCCACATGTACCATAAATCATCTAAATGCAAGGGACTAATTTTATTAGTACTAATTGATTAAATTACTATTAATATTAATTGGAATTAATTGGATAAGTGCCCTTAGTGGGGCAGCTGTGGCCCATGGGCCGCATCCCTAGATTAAATGTTTCCTATATGAAACAGGACAAGGTCAAAGAGGATTTTTCTCTCTCTTGGGCACTTTAAAGCAAAAAACAAAACAAAAGTTCTTAGAGGTTAAAGCTAGACTGGGTCACTATTGAGTGCAGTCCAGTCAAAGTTAAGCTCATTTAAATCAGGACAGGCTATCTAATTTTCTAACACTCTTATAGTAACTTGGAAAGGGTAGGCTGACCTATAATCTGGTACCTCGTATATCCTCCCCCCCCCCTCAGTGCACATATACCTCCCCATCCCTCACACATTATTCTGGAATCGTGGAAAGCAGGTGCAGGTCCCACTTTTAAGTCTAGTTCTGGCACTTCCACATGAAGATTCAGATGCAGTTAATTTCTTGCTAAGCATAAGCAAGAAAGAAGAGTGCTCTAAGAAGCTATATTTCTACAAAGCTTCCTTTCCGTTTTAATATTCTTGTTGCTTATCAAGCTCAGTTCCAAAGGCACGAGACCACAGTTTAACTACGGGTAGTTTGTGAAACTAGGATTTGGTTTGCAGAAATCATTCAAATTCTGGTTTGCCTTGACAAACACTGATTTCATTGCCCCCACTCTTTCTTCCTCTCACCTGCAGAGTAGCTGGTCTGCGGTGTGGCAAGGTTAGCACCAAGGAATAAGCCAATATAAAGTTAGGTTGGACACATTCATATGTCACAAGTCACCATAATTAAGACTAACAGTGGTTAACAGACCAAGCCATAGTTTCAGATCCTGCTTTGATGTTAACTAAACACAGGTAGTAGAGTGGTCTGTGTTCAGATGATCACGTATGAACTATAGTTAGTTTAAAACCATAGTATCACATAACTTGGGAGCCAAGAATCAATTTGACAATTGTCTGGAGGGAGGGAGATTTTAGAAGAAGAAGACTAGGTTTTTATACCCCACTTTTCTTTAAAGGAGCCCCAAAGTGGCCTTCCCTTCCTCTCCCCATAACAGGCACCTTGTGAAGTAAGTGGGGCTGAGAGAGTTCGGAGAGAACTTTGACTGGTCCAAGGTCATCCAGCAGGTTTCATGTGGAGCAGTGGGGGAATCAAACCTGGTTCTCCAGATTAGAGTCAGCCACTCATAACCACTGTAACCATGCTGTCTCTCTCTGCCTAGGGTCAAGGCTCCCCCCCCCACCCCTACAGCACATTTTCTTCACTGTTCAGCTATAGGCACTTTTACTGTTCCCACAGATTACTGGGCATACTTAGTGCCCAAATAGACTTATTTTGCAAACATCATACAAGGCAAAAAAGTTCTTTCAAGGGGGAAACCCCCCCATCATTTCTGCCTTTTAAAAAAACTCTAGCTATAAGATTTATATCACAACTTGCATTAAAAACTAATCGTTTTTAAAATACACAGAACCAACTCCCCACCCCTCACTGGAGGGAGATGTCCAGACCAAACATAAGTGACCTGTTGAACTGGTCAGTTCCACAACAGAACCAAGCTGGAAAACCAGGTGTGTTGAGTTTTGATCTTCGAACACATCACTCACAGGAAAGTGGATGCCAGTTATGATACTATTTGCATGTCAAAGCTTTAATTGTTCACTTCGTCTTACCTTAATTTACTGCCACAATGGTGACACCGAAAGCATGATTTATGAAAGGTCTGTTTGTCGGCAACCAGACACTCCATTGGATAAACTCTCTTTTGACAAAGTAGGCAGGTTTCCTTTCCCTGAACGTGCAGTTTCTAGAAATAAATGAGACAGGGTCTCAGTGCCATATGTTATTATTCATTTTATTTTTTTCCTCAGGCTGTGCACAGACTGTTTCATCACCACAATGCAAACTGAAATACTTGGCTCACAAACAATTAACACCTAAGCCTCCAGTTTATAGAGTCAAATGAGATCCATGCTGCAATGAAACCTACCCCTTGGACTAAAATCATATATTTACTTTGAAGATGCGAACCACAAATTAATGTTCAGACAGGAAGAGAGGGGGAAAGAGGAACTGGAAGTGACTTGCATTTCCTTTGTGCTGGGGCCTCCCAGGGCTCTTTTTGTAGAAAAAGCCCAGCAGGAACTCATTAGCATAATAGGCCACACCCAACAGCAAAATCCATTAGCATATTAGGCCACACCCTGACAGCACTGCTCATTAGCACATTAGGCCACACCCCCATGTTACCAGAAGTGTGGTCATCCAGCCACACCCACCTTTCCCTTCTTATTCTGTTTACCTTGTTTGTTGTCAAAACGGTTCCAGGGCTTTTTTTGTAGCAGGAACTCCTTTGCATGTTAGGCCACACACCCCTAATGTAGCCAATCCTAATGAGTTTCTGCTATTGGGTGTGGCCTATTATGCTAATGAAGTTCCTGCTGGGCATGGCCAACTCAGGAGCCAGCCGGAACTTCGTTCCTGTGGTTTCCTGCCCAAAAATAGCCCTGGGCCTCCACCCTAATGTGTGAAGTGGAAGGTTGGAAACTTCTGTTGGAAAGGGGGACTATAAATAACATAAATTTTAAAAAATCTTTAGCTTCTACGCACATCTTTTAATAGGGGACAGGGTAGAGTGGTGCCTACGTTCCCCATTTCTTGCTACAACAGAACTACTCCAGCTTCCATTCTTTTACTACATTGGGATTTTTATACAGGCAGAAGAACGTACATTTTTGAAAAGGACTGAATCAGCAGTGTTGATCAATAATAGAGACTTTTTACATTATTTACTTTGGTGAATCAGATGTGCTTTTCACATGTTGATCCTTTGGGTGGATGACTGGCTATTGTTCATCCCTAATATGCCAAGTCCATCATATCTCTCATTAATGCAGTCCACAGTTTATTAATATTTTGTCAATAACCAATCTACTTGACACTGTATCAGGGGAGTCCAAAAGCTTACAGACTTTTTGAGTAGCTGTTGCCTCTCATGCTGTTACGATCCTGAAGACTCTATTTGTTTCGATTGCTTTTCCTCCCTTTCCCCAATTCTTCTTGTTCCTGTTTTACGTGCTCTTCCCTCCAGCCTATCAAGCTTTAAGGCTGGATCATGGAGGACAGCAAGTAATAACCTAGGGTTGCCAACCCCCCCGGTTTGCCCCACCCCCAACACCCACAGGCACCCATCTCTCTCCCTTTAAGTGTGTGGAACCCAGGGGTCTTGTTGTAGAAAAAGAGCTGCCGGAGCTCATTAACATAACTCATTAGCATAACTCATTTGCATATGCCACGCCCCCTGACATCACCGGAAGTGACAGAAGGCCACACCCCCTGACATCACCGGAAGTGTGTCAGAAGGCCCGGCTACTTACCCTCCTGCTTCATCCTCATTCCCAAACGGAATGAGGATCGAAGCAGAGGGCGGGGTAAAGAAGGGGCGGGGCTTCACCACGTGACCGCCCCGCCCCCTAGAGGTTCTCTTCCGGAGCTCCGTACCTGAGAGCTCCCCCCCGACTAGAGCCCTGGTGGAACCCGTGTTTCTTCCCAAGCCTGATCTCCGCAAGCTTTGTGCTCTTAAAAGGGAAACGCGGCTGCTCTTAAAGGGGAAACGCCGGCTCCTTTAAGTGCAGGGAACTGCTGTTTCTGGAGATCTGGCGCACGGGCGGGGCGCAGACGTCCCCAACATGATGTCATCACGTCAGGGATGCCTTGACCCCTCCAGGAACGCCCCCAAAGTCCCCCGCTGGGGGTGGAAGATGGACTTGGCAACCCTATCATAACCATTTGGGAGTTATGAAAAGTACCACTATTCAACAGGCCTTAGGCTTGTAATGCCCAATTCATATGTGTCTGATAGTGAATTACTTTCTGGACTTAACAGATGGTAGCCATGTTGGTATGCAGTAGAACAACTAGATTCCAGTTAACACCTTAGAGACCAAGAAGGGGGGGGGGTTATGAGAGTCAAAACTCCCTTCATCAGATATTAATGACAATATGGATATTGTCTTCTTGATGAGAAATTGTGCAATTGCTCCGATCTATGAAGCCAAGGAAGAAGTTAAGCGAGGGTGACTTCTGGAGTAATTCTTGGTCTGGATTTATGTCATGAATTTTGAAATGGTGCTATTGTCTATTGACTTGTGGACTTTAATTTCGATTTCACTGGATGTGGATATGTTTTGTTAATTTTTGAGCCGCTTCATGTTGCAAAGAAGAGGGATGAGCATATCTAAATAAATGAAGGGGAAAAAAGTGATGTACCCTAAGCCTAGTTGATGCCTTTTTTATATTAGTTAGTTGTTGAATTCCAGATAGCAGAAACACTTAGTTTATATGCTACTTCTGTTGCAGTTGCTGACTACAGGCCAAAAATTGCTTCTAAGAACCTTCTGTCTTTCGGCCTTATGGACTGGTGCCACTATATACTCTTTTCATTTCCTATGTCTCTTGGTCACAGCATATCACAGGAGAGGGCCAAACAGTGAATCAGAAGAACTGCCCCGTCAGCTGAGAATTTGTGGTTTGCAGGGCAGGCACCATGGTGTGCCCTCTTTTCAAACAGGGGCTATGCGTACCTGCCCCACAAGCCATGAATTCGCTGCACCCACTCTTTTCAAGCAGGGGCCACCTGCTTCTGCCCTGAAAGTGGCAAACTGCAGGGCAGGCACGCGCGGCTCACATCCCCCCCCCCCAACAATTTAAAGGGAAGGTTCTGATCTCCTTAGTCTGGAGAGCAATTGTAATACCAGGAGATCTCCAGGCCCCGTGAGGAGGTTGGCAACCCCAGCAGAGTACCCTTCTCTTGGGGCTTCTCTAGGCACCTATCTTACCTTCTGTTTAGGCATCAGTTAAAAACATGTCTGTTTATCTAGGCTTTTGATTGAAATTTGATCCTGTCTTTTAGCAGTCTTATTTTGATGATGCTGGCCTGGATTTCCTACCTCTTGATATTTTACAACTTGCCTTTGTACTCCTACTTTTTAAAAAAAATAATGCTGATGGTTTTATTGTCTTCTGGTTTTTGACAGGCAGATGGTTTTACTGCTCCAAGACTGGTTTTACTGAACTGTTTACTGTTTTAATTTGCATGTTTTGCTTTCTTTCTTTTTGCTACCCTTCTTGAGCAAGTATTTAGAGAGGAGACAATCAAATGTTCTAAATTAATTAATTGAATAAACAGGAATGGCACGCAAACAGCATGTGGGCACGGCACTGCAGCTGGGTACCATTTCCTCTTCCTTCTGCAGCGTAGCTGATTTTTAATATTAAACTTAGCTTTTTGGTGTGTATTTGAGTTATTGTATTTCAAGCAGCATGGCAAAAAAAATAAGCATACTGAAAGAAGGGAATTGAATAAGCAAGGGGGAAAAGAAGTTATTTTGGTTTTATACTTAAGTCTTGAGCAGAGGGTTTTGAAATCCAGGCATTCTCTTATTACCTCTTTTGCTATACTCATAAACTTCCTTCCCGCTTTTTCCTAATACCTTCAAGGCCTGTAGTGTTTCCAGTCTCTCCTTGCAACATGTGAATGAAAACTTTGTTTGTAATGTAATAATAGGTCCCCCCCCCTTTTAGTCAGTTCTTGGCACAAACTATCATTTATCAGGTCATAGGATGGAATAATCATTTTTGAAACTATACACACCCCATAATTAGCCCCAGGTTTTATGGCAAATTTGCATCATGATATTCCAGCAGTGCAACCTTAAATAGTTACATGGAGGTCAATAAGCTCAGAAGAGTATAAATCTGCTTAGGATTGCACTGTTCATGTTCTTACTAAGGTCACCATCTGCTCAAAAGCTGCCCTGCCCAAGTCCCTTTGAAATGAATAGGAGCTGCACAAGATGGCACTGAGGTGGACTCAACGAAGGATGAACAGAATGAGTTCATGGAACAGATCTCCCCATCTTCTCCCTTCCTGCTGCAGTCCCCTTGTGCCGCCTAAGCTACTCTGGGGAACCCCTGGGAACAAGAGTGGGATGAGGCACAGGGGAAGTATTTGGGAGTGATTTCCCCCCACCCAATTTCCCTCTTCTTGCCTCATCCCCCATGCACCCACCCCACAGTATTCCTAAAAGACCCTTCAGCTCCCCAGTAAGCAGCTTTTCAGGAGCACAAAGGAGGCTGTAGGAAGAAAGAAAGAAAGCACCATTCCATGAAATCATTCGGTTTGCAATTAATTGGGCCCAGCCCACCATGTCTTATATAGCACCTGAACCCAAAGGTCTGGATGCAATTAAGTTATGTAAAAACACATCAACACTCAATTCCAAGCCGAAGGAAACAACAAACCACATTTTGTGAAGAGTTATGACTCAAATATAGCATTTACCTTTGTCAGACAAAGCCACAGTATTAGTTAGTCACACGTTCGGCGCATATTAAGATGCATGGCTTTAGAAAAGAAAGGAGCAAAGGTTTCTGAGAGAGAGAGAGAGAGAGAGAGAGAGAGAGAGAGAGAGAGAGAGAGAGAGAAAGGGGGCAAAGCACAAGTGAAGGTAAGTTAGTTGCAGTTACATCATGTCACCCTCTTTCGATTATGTATTAGCTGTGCAAAAAAATTCTATTGCCGTTGTGTCAGACTGTTCAAAAGCTGTTAAAACAACACACCCTTTCTCCACACCGTGCAGGCTTATTTACCACTGATAAACTCTGCTTCCTCGTGGAAGCTACTTCTCACTTCTCTTTCCGCGGCATCAGAGACTGTGTAGCCCAGGCTTTTAAACACCCTCTCACTTTCTTGCCAAGTCTTTTGGAAATTCTTCAGCAGTTCTTCGGGTGATTCTGCCGCAGAGATATCCAGGATGTGTCCAGAGATTACATCCTCGTACGTTGGAGGCGCACGTTTGAAGCCAAATCCAGACTGCAGCCCATCTGCGCTTTGTGATCTGGAGGTGGTGGTCCTGGATTCAACCACACTGTTCTCTAATGTCTCCATGCCAGCAGAGCATTCACCGTGAGAGTTGGCATCAAAGCGCGCCATGGGCTCAAAGGAGCGCTCTTTCACTGCACACTGTCTTTGCTTGTAAGATTTATTTTCCTTTGGTTCTCTCTGCTGCTTGCCTGGAGTCTTTTGGAAACCTTCTTTTTGCTTTTCCCTTTCATGAGAAGTTTGGCCTATTTCATCCTTTCTAAACCTGTGCCTTTCTTCCCTGATTTTGCCACTAATCACACCATTTGTGACACATTTTTTCTTTGATTTCACCTCTGCTACTGGCTTATCAAAATCTTCTAACAGCACATCTATTTTATCCTCACTCTCATGGCCTGGTCTTTCAGACACGTCTGATTCTCTTCCTGTGTGAATCGTCTGCTCAGATGCTTGAAACTTATGCACAAGTCCTTTGGGATCAACCTTAGGAGCTTCAGATTTTTGAGCAACAGAAACAGAGTCCGCATTTTCTCTTTGTGGCTCTAAGCCTTCTGGAATGTATCCTGTCTTTTTGCTGAAAAATGTCTTGTTTGTTTCCAGTTCTTCGTGCATTTCTGTACTTTTCTTCACTGTACCAGCAGTTATTTGTGATTCTTTTACAGGCAACACTTTTGAAGACGAACTATCAGATTGCCGCGAATCGAGCTTGATTTGTCGACGGAGAGTTGCAGGAGATTTCACAATCTCTGATCTTTTTTCCATAATGGAAACTGGGGTCACTGATCTGTTTGGGGTTGCTCCTTGGGACAGTTTCACAGTGGCGTCTCTAAGCTTGGCAAGTTGTTCTGAACGGCTTCTTGGTGGAGAGGGAGAGGGGGAAGTGGCTGGTTGTTGGTATTTAGATGTTGGTGTGGTAGACCTAGGAGGTGGAGAAGGTGGGACTGGAGTAGTTTCCCTTTGGGCAGGAGACAAAGGCTCCCTGAGGGGAGATTCAATACGCCTTGATTCAATCGTGATGTAAGTAGGGGAGGGTGCCCGTGTCCTCAGCGATGGTGAAGAAACAGTTCTGTTTTCTGTGTGCCTGTGTGCATTGATATGTTTTACTTCCTGATGTGCTGCTGCATCTGTGATCACCTCTTTAGTCACCTGAGACTCTTTTTTACTAGCGCCGATGCTCAGTTTAGCTATATTTTGTGATGATCCTCTGACATTAAGGGAGTCTTGTCTAGATTTCATGGTTTTTGTGGACCTCATGGCTGTTTGGATTGCATCTTCACACCACTGAAGGATTTGGGCACCCTGGCCTTTAATCACTGATAGCTCTTCCTTCATCTTGTCAATATTATTCTCCTGTGCAATAGAAGTTAACTTTTGTTTCATCTCTTCTTCGACCAGCCACTCTGGAATACCACTTAAGAACACCTGGAAGGTTTGGAGCCCATTTTTATTGGGCTCTGTTTCAAACTGCTTCACTCTGGACAGGACCTGCTGTACCTCCTCACGTTTCCTCAAGAACTCTAATATATCTGTTGGGCTTTTCTCATGACTCTGTGGTATTCTTTTTAAGGAATTAGACAGTGTTGTCTTTTTCTGGGCAACCTCTTGTTTTGGTTCTGCAGTCTTAAGAAGGCCCTTTTTCAGTTGCTGGGCCTTTTCTCCAGCCCACTCCTTCCCTTGCAGACTCCTGGTTTCCTGGGACAAGTATTTTGCTTCCAGACTCAAGTTTCTCTCTTGTTGAGAAGTCTGTGAGCCCTCATGCATGTCAATTACCTTTTGCTTGACTGTTTTTTCTGATTTATTGCTCACTTCCTCTTGTTTTTGTTGAATTATTATTTTCTCTTCTTTAGGGAAAGTAATTACTTGGCTCTGCTTTCCTTCCAGAGCCTGAGAGACACTCTGTTGTTTAATTTCTTCTTTCCCCATTTCTTTCCTTTGAACTAACCTTTGTTTCACTTCACTGGACTCTTTGCCTGTTACTTTGTGCCTGTCTTCGGTGTATTTCAAAAGTGGTTTTTCCAGCTGCACCTTCTCATCAACCTGCCCCCGACTGTTTGCCTTCCCAACGCTTTCTTTTTTGCTAATAGAACTGGTTCTGTTTTCTTTCTGTTTTTCTTGAATACGTTGTTTGAGAACAGCTTGGCTGCTATGCTCCTCTCGCGCCCTGTGCATCAGGGAGTCCTTGTGCGTTTCACCAAATTGTTGATCCAAAGCGGGAAGCTGGATGGTTCTGATTTTGAAAGTAGGGGATGTCATTTTGTTTTTGGACATATGCAGACACGCCTCATCCTCACGTTGCTCTGTCTTGCACACAGCCTGTTCCTTATGGGTGTGCACCTTCTCAGAAGATACTTTATATTGTGTAAGACTTTGCACATTACATGTAGCCTTGTTTCTAATCTGCTCATCTGTTGAGGTTTTTAGGATGCTTTGAGACTGTCGGGTGGTGGCTATCTGTGAAGTGGGTTGTGGCTCATGATCACATGGGACCACATCTTGTGGCTTGGCCGGACCTTTGGGCTCAGCAGGCATAGTCCTTTCTGGAGCTGCAGAGGTCAATGGGTCTTGTACTGGGGACTGGTACTGCTCAGAGGGTTTGGGTTCCAACAGAGATGCTACTGACTCTATCTGAACTGAACTTACAGAAGTTTCACTGTTCCTTCTCACAGTCAGTTGACAAGACTCTTGCGCTTGCTTCTTCTCCATCGCCTCCCTTTGTTGCCTGAATTTCTCTTCTGCAATCATTAAAGGGGTTCTAAATTTTCGTACATATGGCTTAGGCTTCCCTTGTGTTGTCTCTGGTGGGAGGGAAGGAGATCTTACAGGTGGAAACTGACTACTTTTCTTAATTGATGAGGTCTCTGGCTTGATACCATCTGTGACTGAGGAAGGCCTTCTAACCTCTTCTGTTCTTGTGCAGACTCTTTGCTCTTTCTGTCCATGACTAACAACATTAGTCACCGTGGTCCTTTCTGTGCTTTCTTCCATGGTTTTTGTCACATCCCTTCCTTTGCATATCTGAACCTCAGGCTCAATTTTGTGAGGCATTTCAAGCTGATGTTCTTCTAATTGTTTTGTCAAGTCTTTCTGTGGAGGCTTCTTAATGGATGGGACCCTACTGGGTCTAATGCTGGCATGAGCTTGAATGGACTGCTGCAGTGTTTTGTCTAGGTGCTTGAAGAAGTGTTCTCTCTTTTGTTTTGGCTGAGGAATCACAGACGGCTGAGGAAGAGGTGGAGGAGGCAAAGAAGACACAGATTCACTTTCAGATTTGTCTTCTACTGAGGGTGGTGGAGGAGGGAAATGGTCAGCATCTGTTTTGGCCTGTCCTATGGGTGGTGGTGGGGAAGGAAAGCTTTGTCTATCCGAAGCCATCATTAAATGTGTTAGAGGAGGAGGTGGCGGCAGAGGAAGGTCGGCTTCAGATGAAGTCACGGAGGGTGGTGGTGAAGGTGGGGGTGGAGGTGGAGGTGGGGAATCGATTTCGGATCTGTCCAGGTTTCTAGCATTTTTGTTTGGGTTGTGAGGATTTCTTACCAGACCTCTGAAGTTGTAGTCAACAACATCCCCTTTCCCCTTTCCCCTAAGCCTTGCAATAGATTTCTCATTTTGCTCGATAACATTTGAGTTTTGCTTCCTTTCGGCTTCTTGGCTGTGTATTTCCTGTGTGGCTCTGACTTTTTGATTGGTTTTTAGATTCTGTTCTGATGCCATGGAAACCACAGCTTGGTTTGCTTTCATGTTAGTTTTTCTCTCTTCACAAACCTCTTTTGAACACTGTTTTCTTTCTTGCTGTACCTCTTGCTTGTGAAAAGGACTAGTCGCCTTGGAAATCATGCCCATTGACATGTTGACCACTTGCTCTGCACCTCTGTGATGGGTCGTATGAGTGTGGCCATACAATTTTGTTTTTTCTCTCATCTCTTTCTGACCAGTTGTGTCAGGTCTTTGTCTTATAGACGGTTCCACTCTTGATGTGCTTTCATTACTCAGTATTCTGTTTGCCTCCAGTTTCTCCCCTCTTTCATTCCTCCGAACAGTATGACAAGAAGCAGACTGAGTAGCTACAGCATGATCATTACGAGTCTTTGCTTCCTTTTTCACAGTGTTCTGGACTTTGACTTTACCCATAGATTTATCTGCTTTTTCAGTGACCTTGTGTTGGGAATTAGATAAGACCTTCACATTTTTCTTATCTGCCTCATCTGCCTTTGTGTTCCGTTTCTGATCTAAATGGATTGCTTTGGTGTCTTTGCTGAGGAAGCTCTTGCTTTCAGTTTCAATTCTTTGATGATGTGCCTCGTGGGATTTAATATGATTTTGTAACCTTTCAGTCACATTAACCTGGTTCTTGACCAATTGTTGAGAAGGCTCAAAGAGCATCTCCGTGCTTTTTTCCAGATCTCCACATATTCCTGCTTGATGTTGGATTGTTTTTCTTCCTGCAGATGCTCTTTGTAAGCTCTCTGTAGCCGTTTGAGTATCTCCTTTGACTATTTCTTCTTTACCTATCTCCTGGAAAGATTGCTGAGCTGCTCTTAAAGACCATAAGGTGGACTCAAGGTCACCCCGGACAACTTCTTCTCTCAGGACTTCATTTTTTGTCTGTCTTGTTTTCTCCAGAGATTCAATAGCCCGCTTAATATCACCAGGGATGACATCAGGTTTTTCCATCTCTTTCAGTCGACAAGCAGATTCTTCAAGAGACTTCAGAATTGTGAGGATGTCAGCTTTTATAATTTCTTCCTTCTCTGTGACAGTTGTTTGATTTATGGCCTGACTGAGGGAATTTAACGCTGCCTTCAAATCACCTTTTATAATTTCTTCTTTGCATACATGACAAGATGAATTTTGCGGCTCAGTCATAAAGATTTTAACTGCATTACACACATCTCCAGGGATAATGTCGGTTTCGTTAACTGTACGTTGAATCTCAGACCTCTTTTTCTTAAGTAATAGCTTTGTGCCTTCAACATCGCCACCAATTATTTCCTCCTCCTCTTCTTGATTCCTACTGGTAAATGTTTCATTTGCCCCTGTCTGGAGTTGCTTCAGATAATCCAGAGCCCCAGCTTCTATGCATGTTGTAAAAAACTGAACGTTGCCTCTCTCTGAATCATCTATTTTAGCTCTTTCTGTTATTTCATTATTCACTGCGGAAGACAGGAGGTTGTGAATTGTGCGCCTCACATCACCACCTATCACTTCATCTTGCTGGATTTTAGTGCTATCCTTTTTGTGAAAGAGAGAATATACTGTCATGTTAATATCACCTCTCTCATTTTCTTGAATTAAAATTCCACGTTTTGCAGAGCTGCTCTTACTAAACAGGTTTTTAATGGCTTGCTGTATATCACCTCTCACCACCTCTTCCTTTTCAACGTGAACATCTGTTGATCTATTCAGCAACTGCTCTTTGGTCAGATTCACATTACCTTTTTCTTCTTCACTGACTTTAGTTTCCCTTTCAACAGAGCTGCTTTTGGACAGCAAGTTCATCATGATGTTGGCCAGATCTCCTCTAATAATCTCTTCCCTTTGTATTTCAGGAGCCTCCTGATTCATCAGCTTATACTTTGTCATTCGGACATCTCCAATTTCATCAGCCTCCAAGATAATTCCATGAGACTCCACCACTTTGTGAGAATGCAGTTCCTTTAAAGTCTCTTTCACGCTTTTCCCTATGATTTCTTCCTTTTCTATTTTGCTTTCATTGAATTCGTGGAAAGGCGTTGTTTCAAAAAGCCATGTTGTGGTTTTTACATCTACCTGTGGAATTTCTTCTGTAGCTACTCTTGTATCATTTTCATCAGTATCCTTAATGGAGTGTAAAGGCTGGTTTTCGAAAAGCCACACGGCATGCTGAACATCACCTTCTTCTACCTCTTCCTTTGTTACCGTTTTAACATCTTTATACTCTGATCCCTCTCCTCTAATTTCGTCTATGGTATGTGTTTCAAATAACCAAGTTGATGTTTTGACATTGCCTTTTTGTATTTCACTAACACTCACTGTTCTTACATACTGTTCTTTGGTCTCTTCAGACTCAAATAACTTCTTGCTGGCCTTCACATCACCACCTTGGACATGGTCCACTGTGGGGATGATGAATTTTTCCTCATCAGAAATGGTATCCAATGGTTGTGTTTCAAATCTATATCGAACAGAATTAACATCTCCTTTCTGGATATCCTCTTGGGTGACTGATTTTATAATGTACACATTATCTGATTTGTTTATTGATCCCAAGGGTTTTGTTTCAAACAGCCACCGAGTTCCACGTACATCCCCATGAATCACTTCTTCCTTCTTAACAGTAGTCACCTCATGATAATACCCTTCCTTGTCCTGAATCGCATAAAGTGGCTGGGTCTCAAAGAGCATTCTGTAGTTTTTCACATCTCCCTTTGTTATTTCTTCTTCACTCACAGTTTTCTTGGTGCTTATGTCTGTAGAAGATTCCTCTTTAATCTGGTCCAAAGAAAATGTCTCAAAGATAAAACAACCCTTTTGCACATTTCCACCTTGTACATCTGTAACTGTTTTAATTGTTGTCCTATCCTCTTGGTTCTCTGTTATTTCATCAATAGGCTGATTCTCAAAAAGCCAACAGCAATGCAAAACATTCCCTTTTTGTATGTCTTCACGCTGGATAGTCTTAATTTTGTTCAATACTTCTTCTGTGCTGAAGTTTATAGAGTCTAATGTTTGGTTTTCAAACTTATACCTCATGGTGGAGACATCTCCAGGCTGGATATCAATTTCTACTACTCGCTTGAGTTCCTCACTCTCTTCTCCTTGTATATTTTCTAGGTTTTCTGTCTCAAAAAGGAAACACGCAGTGCGGACATCACTACCCTGAATTTCTTCTTGCTTCGCTGTCTGCAGTTTCACAACTCTTTCTGAGTCTTCCCCTATTGCATCGAGAGGCTGGGTTTCAAAGAGCCAGGTACAGCTTTTGACATCTCCTCTGTGTATCTCTTCATTATCAGTCACTGCCTCTTCTTTGTCATACAAGGATTCCATTGGCTGGGTTTCAAATAGCCACCTACACATTCTGACATCCCCTTTGACAATTTCAGTGGAATCCATTTGAGCTTTGCTCTCTTCATCCTCCACATTAGAAAAGTATTTAATAGAGTCAAGAGGCTGAGTTTCAAACAGCCATTTTGCTGTCTTCACATCGCCTGACTGAACTTCTTGGGAAGATATTCCTTTAATAATCTGAATTTTTTCAATACTCTCATCAAACTGGTCTATGGGCCTGGTCTCAAAGAGCCACCGGCAGTTTCTGACATCCCCTCTTAAGACTTCTTCTTGTCGAATTGTTTTCACCTCATGATATTTCCCAAGTCTGTCCTGTATTGCATACAGTGGAGTAGTTTCAAAAACAGCTGTGTTTAATTTGACTGCACCTCTTGTCACACCTTCAACATGGATTTTGTGCCTGTCATCATGTTTGCTTAACTTACAGGATTCAAATGCATGTTTGCAGCTGCTCACATTTCCCCTATCAATTTCCTCCAGTTTCACAGTTCTTATGAATTCTTTTCTTTCTTCTCTAATCTGTTCGAGAGGTTTAGTTTCAAAAATCAGTTTCTGGTGCTGCACATCTCCTTTTTCTTCCTCAGTGGCAGCCATTTTATGAAGTTTTCCAATGTCTGGGCTGTCTTTTAGCATGTCCATTGGCAATGTTTCAAACAAGTGTTTGGTAGTATTTACATCCCCTCCTATTATTTCTTCAGTCTGTAAAGGATTTGTATCTTCACTTTCTTTTAAGGCATCAAGAGGCTGAGTCTCAAAAAGCCAGCATTTGCCACAGACATCACTACCTACAATGACTTCTTTTTCCACAACAGATATTTCAGACTCCTCTTTAATAGTGTCCAAAGGCTGTGTTTCAAAAAGCCATTTTGCCTTGCCTACTTCACCTTTGACATTCTCCTCCATAGAGATTCCACGGACAACTTTGATTTCCAGAGAGTCTTTGTTAATCATGTCTATGGGATGTGTTTCAAACATCCAGCGCACCGTTCTGACATCCCCTCTCTCAAGTTCTTCTCTATGAACAGTTTTAATCTCTAGCATTTGGCCCAAATCATTCCTAATAACATACATTGGCAGAGTTTCAAAATGCCGTATACATCTCTTCACATCACCTTTAATCTCCTTTAGCTCAGACCTCAGCTGGAGCAACTTGGCTTCATCCACTGAGTACAGCTGCCCGAGTCTATCCAGATGCTGTGTTTCAAACATATACCTCACTGTTTTGACATCTCCACCAGCAATTTCCTCAGTGGCAGATTCATCAGATTCTTGTTCTTTCTCTTGAAGAATTTTATTCATGGAGTCCAAAGGCTGAGTTTCAAACATCCAAGTGGCTGTGCGGACATCTCCTCGAGCCAATTCAGGAATTTTGTCTTCACTTTCTGTATTATTTGAGGAATGTGCACTCAGCGCATCTATGGGCTGTGTTTCAAACATCCATGTAGTATATTTCACATCTCCACCTGCAATGATTTCTTGATCTGCGATGCTTTTGATATTGCTTGGGTCAGGGGATTCATCTTTGATTGAATCTAAAGGCTGGTTCTCAAACATCCACCTCATGGACTGAACTTCTCCTTTTAGGATTTCGTCCCATTCCAAGTACTCTCTCTCGGGACTCATGCACTTCTGGGGACTGCTTCCTGTGTTTTCAAAGAGGTGCTTAGCTTGACGTACATCTCCTGCTACTGAGCTACTGGTTTCTGCGTCACTAGACACTATCTCACAGACATCATTGAAATAATCTTTTTCTAAATTCTTTCTCAATTCTGGATGAATGTGTTTGTATAAACGTTTTAATTCATAGAGATTTCGTTGCTTGGAATACAAATCTTTGGGGAGGGTGTGCTTGGATGGAGAGGGAGAGGGTTCAGGGGACTGGGAAAACTCTGTCATTTCAGATGGAACCTGTAGTAAGTCTGGAGAGGGTGGAGGAGGAAACTCCTCTGAACTCCCATACTTAGAAGAGTTGCTGTAGGTTGTGGCTGAGGCTGCAGATGCATAGTCAGTTTTCCTTGCCATGTATATTTCCTGTTGTCTATTTGCAGAAGCAGATTCAACAGCAGAAGTAGTAAAGGCTGCCCATGGCTGGGCCATTTGTTGGTATTCATTTTCAATCTTTGGGGGACAAAATTAGTAATTTTAAATATATGTATTTACAAGTGATATTTTTGCTATGGTTGACACAGTCCTACAAAAATAGCTAAGCAACAGAATGTCAAAGGAAGTCAAAGGCTCTCTTCTATCCCCAAAGAACTTAGGTGGAACAGAGTGATTTAACAATTATAGCAGATGCAGTACATCCATAACTGTTGCTTCTGTGATAAACTAGTTTACTCGTAGTGTATCGTTTATCTGCATTTTATTCACGTTCCATTCCGAGATAATCTTGACATTGTTTACTTTTTATCTCATATTAACAGATGTAACAGTCAAAGATTTTGGGAGAAAAACTATACTTTCTTCTAAGAACTAGAAACAGAATACAGAGCATGCAGCCAGGAAAAAACTAGATTTGAAAGACACACACAAACCCCCCCTCAAAAAAGCTGTAGATATAAATGTTTGTCAAAGAAGAAGGAAGAATTAAGGAAATACAATAGTAAAGTTTATCTATGTTATGTAGATCTTTAATATACAAGGAGCTCAATCTTAAGAGCCACTATGCGGGCACAAGAGTTCATAGGACAACGCAGAAGGATCCCAGTGACAGGTGGTAGAATCTGTTTCTAACTCTGCCACAAGTGCCCCAGCCTCAATGGCTACCAGTAGTAAGCCTTTAGTAGAGGAAGAACAATCAGGTGCTATCATCATCCTAGGAACTCTTGGCATCAAATAAAATTCAGCGTAACATGGCCGCAGACTGTATTCTGTTTGCAAAAGATCAAAGGACACTTCAGCAGCAACCATTGTTTGTTCTGTGGGTGCTATAGAAGTCCCAAAGGAATGGAATATAACAGTGGCGATCCTAAACAGAGTTATACCCTTCTAAGCCCACTGACTTGAGTGGGTTTAGAAGGGCATAACACTGCTCAGGATTGCACTGTGTTATCATTCACTTGCTAAACATAGCCACAGAATTCAGATATAAAACGACGTTACAAGTGTCACCTAAGTCACTGCATGAAATATGGATATTCTGAGTGATTGCAACTATGGGTGTGCATACAGACAAAACCCCCAGTATTTTTCGGATTTGGGTATATTGGACCTGAAAAATATTGGTATTCCTGATATTCCCGAATTCCAATACCAGTACAGTATTCAGATTTGGGATTTTTCAGGAATGCTTTCAGCTCCATTATACCCTATGGGGACCATTATAGTCAATAGAGAATCTATCTGGGCTATCTGGGAGTCTGGGGCTTGTTATTTGAGGTAGATGCCCCAAATTTGCCACATAGCTTCTGGTGCCTCTCCTCAGAAGACCCCCCAAGTTTCAAAAAGTGCAATTCTATAGCCCCCCAAAGAAGGTGCCCCTATCCTCCATTGTTTCCAATGGAAGAAAAAATAGCAAAAAAGCAAGGATACTAGAAGCCTAGCAGAACAAAATCAAAGTGCCAGAGAATCTCTGCAGTAGAAACTGAAGGGGGGCATTTTTGCAAGCCCAGCAGAACCAGTGCAATGGACAGAGTGCCCAGCAGTACCAGTGTAATCACAGAGTGCCCAGCAGAACCCAGGGCCACTGTGGCAATGCCAGCTCAACAGGACTGATGTCAAGCACAGAATCACTATCCAAGCAAGGGGGTGGCAAGCCCAGCAGAACCAGTTCAATGTAGTGCCCAGCCAGCAAAACCTGATACCACTATGGCAATGTCAGCTCTACAATGAATCCAAACCGGGGCTGGGGGGAGTTGCAAGCCCAGCAGTACCAGTGCAGTCTATAGTGCCCAGCAGAACCCAGTGCAATTGAGGCAATGTCAGCTCAACGTCAGCTGTTTTAACTTTTAATGTAAGCCGCCCTGAGCCTCCTTTGTTAGGGTGGGCGGGATATAAATCTAATAAAATAAATAAATAAATGAACAGGACTGATGCGAAGCACAGAATCACGATCCAAGCTGCAAGTTCACTCCAAAGGCATTTAAAGGGACTGTGAGCCCTTTAAATGCACTTTAACTGCAGCTATCCAGCATTCCTGGATAATCCTGAATATTTTGGGGATTTTTTGGAATCGGCTATACCAGATAGCTGAGAATAGACTCCTGTTGTACTTGGCTGAAAACATAGCCAAAAAATACCGATAAGGTATACTTCAGCAATTTTTTGGACCTTGATATACCAAATGCACACCCCTAATTGCAACTCACTAAGAGTACTTTAGCATTACGATTAAAATTACAATCAATTCAGTATAGCACAAATGGAGGATTCTCCTTTCAGAACCACAGACCTTGATCTGCTTTGCAGGTGTTCCGCTCTCTCTGCCAGAGTGAAATGTCTTTCCCTGGCCTGTTTTCTCAAAATGTTGCTTTAAGGATTGTGTAGAGATCTTGGGAACCTCCTCGTCCACAACTTCATTGATCACTGTGGCATGAAAAGACAAGGTTATTAAAGAAACACTGAAATACATGTTATTAAAATAAACCAGCTTTACTTATGGCTTAGTGACCCTGGAGGTCCTTTGATTTCCTCTGAAGCATGAGGCTGTCTTATTTAGGTTGCATATATCATAAACCTGCTTTGGGTTTATGTGCATTTACATGTGCGTAGTGTCTTCATGTGCATGAAAGTGTTCTTCTTTGGTACCACCACCTCAAGCCAAAGCCAGCCTCCCGCTTTACCAGTAGCTGTGAAATACTAGTAAAAGCTGCCTCTGAACATGTACAAAAGGCAGAGTTTACCAGCCACTTCAGCTCTTCTCCTGTGTGTGTGTTAGCGTGAATGAGGGGCCAGGTGAGCAGGGAGGAGTTTGAAATGCAGTCTGCTCTCTGAAACCAGAAAACTTTATAGCTACAGGTTATTAAACCAGAGCATAAGACAAGGGAAAATGCCTATCACGCCTACTAGCAACACAAATCTAAGGAAAAGAACAGGAAAAATCATATCACTTAGCTAAACTTAACAGTACAGAAGTTTTACCTCCACATCCCTCTGGATGTGTGCAGAACAAATGCAAATCTCCACCTGCTCCATGCAGGGGAATCAGATTCCTAGCATTGGAACAATGCTAACTGGATATCCCAACCTTTTAAACCAGGGGTGTCAAACTCATTTGTTATGAGGACTGGATCTGACATAAATGAGACCTTGCTGTGCCGGGCCATTTGTGTCATAAATTGCAATGCCAGGTAGCCAAGATATAAACTTTATAAAGGACACAAACACAAAGGGTTTTTTTACTTAAAATAAAAACATGCTTAAAACATTAGCACTCATGCAATATTTTGTTTATTTAACAGTGTCTGATTACTGACACCTTTTGCTCTGAATCATTACATCAAAATGTCTGTGCTGTTGCAATCTTGAGTATGCTGTTCAGGTGTGTATTTATAAGCTGCAAACCTACGATTATGCAGCAGCAGTAGAACTGAAGAAGCAGCAGAAGACAGCCAGTTCCACTGCGGGCCTGACAGAAGCCCTCTGGGGGCCTGATCCGGCCCCCGGGCCACATGTTTGACACCCGTGTTTTAAACCTTTCTACCCTAGCTGGCCGGAAGTCTCTTATCTAATCCAGAGAGTTCGCTTCCATGTGGGATGGTGAACACCTATTTCCCAGTCATCCAAGGGCTCACGATTTACACATTTCAGTACTCAGATCATATTTTACACCAGCTATCCATCTTGCCCTTCCTGTCAGGTAGAAAAAATTGTCCTCTTTGTGAAAAGCATCTCTGCTCTCTGACCTCTTGGTGAACTTTATGGCTTTCTTCCCTGGGGAAGCAAGCAAATATCAGGGTCCCAGAAAACTCCTGGTGAGCTTCAAAGCACTTTACATCTCCAGGTTCATGACAATGTAAAGTGATCTGTCCTGCAAGAATACTTGGTGCAACATCCGCTCTTCTGCTTGTTATACACTACAGACCAAAACTGAAAGAACTCTTAACAGTGGACCCCATGCATGCCAGAACCTGCTTTGGACAAATCCCCTTTGTTTCAAAGAATGTTTGACATGTGGCACAAGGGGCTGCTATTCAAGAAACACCAAGCCCAACGCCTCATTGGGCACATGGAATTCCTTCTATTGTTCTTTAGATGCAAGCCATAATAACAGTAGATCAATCTATTAGATTACTAATGGACAGAAGATGCTGCCATTGGATACTGGGTTGCATCTGATGACAGTAAAACCAACTGTAGCCTTGTGATTCTATGTTATTGCTACCAGATGATCTACACTGTATTAATAACACAGACCCTTGCATAGATGGAAATACTTAAACATAAAATGGAGGCTAAATGAATCAGAACTTATTTGCAGACTGACACAGTAGCTTCTCTGGCATAGGCCAGACTGGAGCCGATGGAATACTGTAAAAACAGTGATTCTGAGTCATATGAAATCCTGCATAGCCATTCAGTATAAGGGTAATTATATCTTTTCATATTTATTATGTATAAATATTTGTACTTATGTCATGGGAATCAATCAAGTAAAAAAAGTTTACGCATTTGGCTAAGTATATGTGAAGAACACTTAAACATTATGGCTTGGAGCCTATGTAGTGCACTCAGAACATCTAAAGTGTGATGATAGTATTATTTGCCTAGTTGCTTAATGCTCCCCCACTGGGGATGCTTCAGAAAGGAATAAACTGGACATTTTAGGGGCTTTGTGCAACGCACCCTTTCTAACAAAATATGGTGGTGGTTGGAACTGCCAACAAGTTGCAGCCAACTTCTGGCAACCTCATAGGGTTTCCAAGGCAACAGATGAACAGAAGTGGTTTGCTATTGCCTGCTTCTCTGTAGCAACCCTGGCTGTCTCTTTGGTGGTCTCCCATCCAAGTACGAACCAGGGCTGACACTGCTTAGCTTCCAAGATGTGACAAGATCAGGCTAGCCTGGGCCATCCAGGTCGGGGCAACAAAAGGTACCACAGGAATATAGAACAAAACCACCCTTAACAGTGATTCAAGGACATCTCTTCAACTTGAGCAGTCAGCTGTGGTGGAAGCGCGACAGCCTCACAGAATAGAAGTTCCACTAAAGTTCCGCTTGCACAAAGAAGACAAAAGGAAATAATTCTTTTCTCAAGTTAAATTGGCTAAGAGCACGGATGGCTATAAAAAGGGGTTAGATGTATCTGTGGAGGATCGGCCCCTCAATGCCTACTTGCCATGCTGAGCAAAGGGAACCTGAGCAAAGGAAGGCAGTAAACCTCTGAAATCAGTGCTAGGAGGCAAAATCAGGGGAGGTCCTGGGCTTCTAGGCCCTGTTTATTAGCCCTCCAGGGCGACTGATTTGCCTCTGTATGAAATAGGTTGCTGGACTAGACAGACCACTGGTCTTCTCCAGCAGGGCTCTTCTCATGTTCTTAAACAAAATAACACCATAGGATCCAAGCCATATTTACACCTCAGTCCTAAGCAGAGTTATACACACCCTTCTAAATCCACTAAACTCAGTGGGCTTAGATGGCTATAACTTGTTTAGGACTGCACTGTTAATAATTTTAAATACTTTTCCATTCCTAGCAATGTGACTGACATAGGTGATCCATAGGACAGGGATTGGACCGAATTCAAATTATTATATCCACATGCTTTACCGGCACACTGTGGCCAAAGTTAAATCCCACTGATTTGCACAGTATGTGCTTTGCACAGTATGGGATTTGAGTATGTGCTTAGCTTCTCCAGTGGAAGCAAACAGGACTACTGGGGCTTAACTTTAGTATTTTCTGGAAACTATTTGTTATTTTCATGGACTCCCCTTACATCCCCATACTTACATGTTTCCTCAGTACACTGAGTGACATTAGAAGTTTTGTTAACCTCAAATGAAGCTTCCTCATGTTGAGAAACCTGTGTAAAAATATGCAATTTCAATATCAATCAATAATTTATAAGGATTTATGCTATACGAATTTGGGGGCGCAGAGATGCTGTATGTACGGAATCATCTCACCTCTACCCCAATTATGCTATAGTCTTCTATGAACCAGTTCAAATTTCATGCTCACAAGGAAGGTTTAGACACTGGGTTGGACCCAGCCATTGTGTGAGGAAAGCAGAATGCATTTGTGTGACTCCACTTGTGCAAGCTGTAGTGCGGTTGCTGCACAGCACCTCAGGCAATGTGCATGTGAAGGAAGGGAATGCACACATGATTTTGTTTCATTTGTTCTGAAATTGTTACAGAAGAATCTTGTGCGACATGTTGTGCAGGCAGAAAAGATTGTGGGGATACAACCACTTTCACTTAGCACGAGCAGACTGTTGTGCACATGGAAGCTTTCCAGACGACCCAACCCTTCCCTCCCCTTCCCACACTTGTAATGCAGCAATGAAAAGACTCGCCCACAACTACATGGATATTTTAAAGATTACTGTGAAAAGGCTTTCTATGAATGCCACATATATCACATTAGTGCAATGTTCATATATGATAACAGCCATGTACAGATGCAAGAATGTGGAAGGATCAAATATATAACACACACACACACCTATTCATTAGAAGTGGGCACATTTTTAATTCGTTTATGCTTCATTTGTCATTAGATGAATTTGTGTTCAGTTCTTCATTACCCTTTTTGGGAATGCCTCCCTCCTCCTCCTCTCTATGGCTATTCTGCTGCTTCTGCTTCTGGCAGTAGTGATGATACCCAGGTAGCCAGGCAATTAGTTGGCAGGTGTCTGGGCAGGGAAAGAAAATCCATCCTTTGGTGCCTTAGGTTCTTCCAAGGCATCTCAGGCCTGGGGAATGTAGACCTCAATGTGCCTGCCTACCATTATGTAAGGACTAAATTTCCCATGATGCACCGAGGCACAGGCCAACATCAATAATAGTGTCTGAGGTGCCTTAAGTGATGGTGGAGGGGAGAAAGAATTTTGTTTCCCCTGCTGGCCATCTTCCTGCCTACCTGACTGCCACCATTTGTCTGGCTAAAAGCAGCAACTGCTGCCATCTAGGTAAGTTAGGGCTGCTAACTTCCAGGTGGGGACTGGAGACCTCCTGGAATTACAACTGATTCTTGACAGCAAAGAGCATTGCCATGGAGAAAATGGCTGCTTTGGCGGGTGGACTACATGGAATTATATGCCACTGAGGTCCCTCCCCTCCACAAACCCCACTCTCTACAGGCTCCACCCCCAAAATCTCCAGGCATTTCCCAGCTCAGAGCTGGCAGCCCTAAGGTAAGTTTAAGAACTGGAGAAGAGAGAGAGGAGGAAGAAATGGGAGGGCAATGAATGAAGATAGGGCACTTTGTCTACTCCCCCCCCCTTTGTTTTCATCGCTCGGATGAATGAACTCCATTGGGCTCTGGGGTTTGTTTTTTATTCATTTGGTAACTAATAAATATTCTGCGTATTCAGCACTGGATAACTGCAATAGCAGGGGGTAACTAGAGTTTGGCACAACCATCAGAAATCAAGCACCACAGAAAGAGCTCTGCATCCCCCAAAATTGCTTCAACTACAGTGTGTTTATTTATTTATTTAAATCATTTCTACTCTGTCTCTCCATATAAATATCTCTGAGGCAGTTTAACAGCATATGAAGACAGGTGCTGCCCATGTTCTATGGGAGAAGTGGAATCGATGCTCCACAAGTTCTTCCTTTTCATCAAGCTTACAGAGACAAACTTATCACCCCCCTCTTAGATAGAGGAAAATCAGCAAATCTGTAGACAAATAGCTAAATTCTGTGCACATCTGGTAAAATTCCACAACAAAACAGATCAAGCATAATCCTTATCTACCTTCCACATAACTCATAATTAGTTCAGTCATAGATATTTTATAATTTTTGATACAATGGATTTTTAAACTTTTAATGATTTTAAGGTTATATGTCTAAATATCTTTTAAGCGGGAAGCAAATTTGTTTGTACCTAATGAATATGTATTTCTTTGATCATTGATTGAACTGGAGGCAGTTTAACGGAGGCCATCCATTTTGACTGGTGAGATATTAACAATGCCCATCCGAACCAGACTTACACCCTCCTATTGAAGTCAGAAGGCCATAACTCTGCTTAGGGGGGCAGTGTAGGCAATGTGCATGCAGGTGTGAATTGGGTCTTTAGAAAACAATTGCTTGCTTCCAAATCAGAATGGCTGCCACAAGCACAACATGCATCCGAGCTCTTCAGAATTCTTAATAGTGGCCTATCGAAACTATTGTTACTGGAAGTTACCATTTCTGACTGAATGGTTTCCACCTGAGTTGCTTTAGAAGTCTCTTCATTGAGGCTGGTTTGTTTGCTACTGCTTGACATCTTGGCTTGACTTCTGTTTGTCACTTTCTAAAGAAAAATAATATAAAAACCCATCAATGTTATGTTTGCACCTTTATGATAATTTTCAAAATAAAAAAGTTCTTGTTTCCGCATGTAAACATAAATGAGACCAAATATCACATTTTTACTAGTAAATTGTAATTAATAATATTATATAAACGCACATGATCCTTGGTCTATTAAGGTCAATATTGTCTAATCTGATTGGCAGCAGCTCTCCAGAGCCTCACATACTCTACCACTGTGCCATAGTCCCTCCACTCTTACCAGTTGTTGCAACATACACTGTACTTTCCGTACTACTACTTATCTACAAGATTTATCTTACTGTTGCGGGTAGAATAAGATAAATGTTATTAAAAGTAGTAGAATGCAAGAAATGACCTGGGTTTTAATGGAAGCTGTCCTGATTTAATCAGCAAACTCCTGTCTACTCAGAAGCCTTTGACCAGAATATATAGGGAAACTGTTAACTTTTCAAAGTTGAGGATGGTTGCACATACATTACTTAAAACCAGTGACTTGAAGTCCCAGTTGGCTGGGCAAACTCTGGGAGAAGTACTGCCCATTTGTAGAGCTGCAAGGTAATGTAAGTCAGTGATGAGCTAGGCTTGTGAAGACCTTTAGATACGAGTCCAATAACTCATAATCACTATACCACACTGGCCCTCTAACTACTTAGGGTTGTACCTCAGTAATTTATGTAGAGATCAGTGGATATCTAAAAAGTGCTTAGAAGTGGATCATACCTGCTAAGATTACAGCAGTCTTAATGTTTCCGGGCAAGTGACTGCATTACTACCCAACTCTACAGTACACGATGGTATCAGCAGACTTTGGTGTCAAACTCAAAAACTGGAAGAGCAATTCGGTTGCTCAGAAGGACCTAGCACACTTGACATTATTTAGGCACAAAAATGCACCAGATGTATAAATGGTGATCTGTGCAACTCATAATCCTCAAAACCCACAACAGGGAGTAAATCTTCATGAAAGCATTTAGCCCTTTGTTGATAGTCCTTAGTTTCGCATACATTTCCTTATATACATTATGGAAAGAGAAAAAAGTGAACTGGAGGACATACAGCTCTCTGTTCCCCAAATTATTGCTTTTATAGTATTTACATAAAATGAAAAAGCAACTAGGATGGATAAAAGGGAAGAGCCAGTGGAAGACCGATCACCTGCTTTGCAATGCAGAAGGTCCTAGATTCAATACTCCGAATTTCCAGTTAAAAGGATCCGATAGTTGGTGATCTGAAATACCTTTCCTTGAGAAGAGCTGCTGTCAGTCAGAGCAGACAATGGGGATCTTGATAGACCAGTGTTCTGACTCAGAACAAGGCCATTTTTAGGCATATGGAAGAACACACAAGCTTAGCCCATGTGGGTTGCGGCAGCTGGAAGAATGGACGGAATTATTTATACATGTCTTTTCATAACAGCAATTGTGGGAATGCTGTTGCAGAGTGAGTTTCACAAGCAAATGCAGAAAAATCAATGCATGTCCCACAGGTAAGAATGGATGTTAACAAGTGCCAAGGATTGATTTTTACATACAGAATTCACTGCAGCAGATAACAGTTGAAGGGAGTCAGAAAGTGCTTGGTCAAGAAGCCTGGGACAGCACTGTAAATTGTCATCTCAAACCCCACATGGGAGTTCTATCAAACTGCAGTAAATTTAAGTCTTTTCTTAATTTTGGTTCCATTATTTAAATAGTTTAATGCACAACTGTAGCTCGCAAATGTTAAATGTGGCCAGTGTTAGTCTTCTGTTTGCAGTGGACTATTTGCCCAGCCTGCTATAAAGTAAAGGAAACTCTGAGTGACTAGAGGATTCTATAGATGTGAGACAGGCAATGTGTGCTGAAC